TCTCGACCCCGTGGGCTCAGGCAATCCACTCACCTCAGCCTCCCAAAGGTGCAGGATTACAGGCTGAGCCACCGAACTGGCTGAGATGGCTATCTTAATAACATAAGAAAGTGTTGGGGTCCTGACTCAGATGTCAGTGATTATAGCCAACATGGACCTTCAATGAGCTTTTACTAAAAGCTAGACAGCATGCTAAGGCCTTTACTTAATCTTTACATAAAAGGTATGCTGAACTACATTTGATGAGGGAACAAACAGGAAATTGCTTTGTTTTCTCCTTCTATTGACTTCAAACATTATTTGTCTTTCTCTTCTCTTCAGTGACATTTCCTGCAAATTCTGTTGTTTTCCTATCACTTGGTTTATAAAAATCACATTTGAGTTCTTATAATTCACTTACAAGGATATAAAAATCCGATTCAATTTAAACCTTCAGTGCCATTTCCGGTTTCTAATCTCTCTCCTTTAGTGTGGAAACGGAGTATGGGCCATTGTTGTTGCTCTTTTTTTTTGAGTTGGAGTCTCACTCTGTCGCCCAGACTGGAGTGCAGTGGCACGCTCCTGGCCACCGCAGCCTCGACCCACTGGGCTCCGGTGATCCTTCCACCTCAGCCTTCTGAGTAGCTGGAATTACAGGCGCGCACCACCTAAACGCCTGGCTAGTTTTTGGTTTATTGTAGAGATGAGGGCTCGCCAAGTTGTCCAGGAGGGTTTCGAACCCTCGGGCTCAGGCAGTCCATTCACCTTGGCCTCCCAAAGTGCTGAGCTACTGAGCCCAGCCTGTTGTTGCTCTTTCTTCATCTCCTCCTCCTTTTCACTCTGCTGTTTCTAAGTTGGGAAGCAGGGGAGAAGGAAAGCCGTTTAGGTGACCAGTGCTGCTCTAATCCATTCCTTTTGTCCCCGCTATCTACTTTATTGGGGTTATGTTTGTCATTTCTTTGAAAGTTCTACAGAAATTTCCTTGATATTGGTGACTGACTTTTTGTGACACTGGCTCCCTTCCCTAGCTCTTGCTTGTGGCACATCACCCTACATTTTTTCTGCCTGGCCTTGCTTAGAAAACTCTTGAACTCAAATGACATCTGTTTGCTTAAGAATTTAGAGGTGCTCTTTAACTAGTTGGCTTCCATTTTGAAGCTTAAACTGAAATTCTGAGACTTTGGGAAAAGACTTAGTATGCTTCTTTATACATTTACAATGACCCCTTAAGGAAATAATATTACTCTCTTTTTACTTGTCCAAAGTAGAAAGTAATGGACTTCAAGCTCAAACCTAGGTGTAGTTGACTCCAAAACCTGTTCCCTTAATACGGGGGGGGGGGTCCCATAAAAACATGGAATTACCTTTTAAAGGTCAGGCCCCTTGTAGTACAGGCTTCCTCTGCTAGGTAAGTGTTCTAGGAACCCATCAGCATCAGTGTACCAGCTAGCATTGTTGTGAGGCTGTGTTCGGCTTCAGTGAATTTTTTTTTTTTTTAATTCTTTCAGCACCTCTGCCCATTTCATTATGAGTGATTAACAAGTGCACCTACCCATACCACGCTGAGTTTTCAGAGGTTTTTGACCAAAAATGGCATGACTCCTATGCCCCAACTTCCCTATTCACCTGATCTCACTCCTGGTGAATTTTTTTTTTGTTTCCCTGGATGAAAAATGTCCTCAAAGGGAAATGTTCAGCTGATGTGAGAGAGGTGAAACAAAAAACGGCAGAAGTACTAAAAGGCATCAAAATTGATGAGTTCAAAAATTGTTTTGAGCAGTGGAAAAAGCGTTTTGATGGGTATATTGCATCAAACGAAGAGTACTTTGAAGGTAACTGAAGCTTAAGCATGTAAGAATAAATACACAATTTATTATAAATAAATTATGGGTTTTTGGGGTCCCCCCTTGTACACTAGACTGCTTTCTGATTTCATATAGCTAGAAGCTATATTTAAGCCTGTGATTTAGTGCTGAATTGACTACATGCTAATTTTTTTTGTTGTTCAGTATAAAGTTCATCTTCAGACAGGTAAGCATAGGAGATATTGAATGTCAAAGGCAAGGTTTTTTGTTTGTTTTTGTTTTGGGGGCTGGGTCCCACTCCATTGCTCAGGCTAGAGTGCAGTGGCACAATCACACCTCACCGTAGCCTTGACCTCCTGAGCTCAAAGTGATCCTTCTGACTCAGCCTCCCATGTAGCTGCGACTACAGACACTTGCCACCATGCCCAGCTAATTAAAAAAAAAAATTTTTGTAAAGTCGTGATCTCACTGTGCTGCCCAGGCTGGCCTTGAACCCCCAGGCTCAAATGATCCTCCTGCCTTGGCCAAAGTGCTGGGATTACAGGCGTGAGCCACTACTCCCAGCCTTGATATGTTGTTTTAAAGCAGGAACCCGTTACAGTTCTTACTGCTTTCCACTAGAAACTACTAGCCAAGAATTTCATGGGGAAAAAAATTATGTAAATAGAATAGAATCTAATGGTATGTTTCTGTTTTCCAGTGAAACTTGGGAAGAATGTGCTCTAAGAGAAACCTGGGAAGAAGCAGCCCTTCATCTGAAAAATGTTCACTTTGCCTCAGTTGTAAATTCTTTTGTTGAGAAAGAGAATTACCATTATGTCACGATATTAATGAAAGGAGAAGTGGATGTGACTCATGATTCAGAACCAAAGAATGTAGAGCCTGAAAAAAATGAAAGTAAGGGAATTATATATAATAATTTTTCTTTGATGAGAGCATATCGTTTAAAGGAGTGTTATCCCTGAGAAAGGGGCATATATGCAGAGGTCTGAGGGATGTGATATTGGTAGAATGAATAAATTATGTTTTTACATATTGGTTTGATTGAATTAACAGGAGGACATGTTGGCCACCCAAAGACCTGTTGAGTCATATAAGATTTTTTATAAACTAGGTAAATGCTTGGAATCATTTAAAATGAACTAGCAGGCTGGACTCGGTGGCTCAGCCTGTAATCCTAGTGCTTTGGGAGGCCGAGGTGAGTAGATTGCCTGAGCCCACGGGTTCGAGACTTGCCCGGGCAACTTGGCAAGACCACATCTCTACAATAAACCAAAAAATTAGCCGGGTGTGGTAGCGCGCGCCTGTAGTTCCAGCTACTTGGAAGGCTGAGGCGGAAGGATTGCCAGAGCCTAGCAGGTCGAGGCTACAGTGGCCGGGAGCGGCCACTGCACTCCAGTCTGGGTAACAGAGTTGAGACTCCAACTCAAAATAAATAAATAAATAAATAAAATGAACTAACAAAGTGTCTAAACGTCTTCAGTGGGCCTAGGGTACAACTAAAATGATTCATCCAATGAAGTAGAAGGTGGGAGAGGTAGGTAAGAAATGTACCAGGTACATTGGTGGGTTTCCAAGAAAGTGCTCTCACCTCTCACATCCCTAATTATCTCCGATAAAATGAGGAATAGGAGAGGGGAGGGTCCAGCACAATAGTAATATTAGCCTTTATATTCTGAAGCTGGGGGGAGGAGCAGTTGATTATCTTTTAATGTTAAATAAGGCCATTAATTATGCATATTTTCATTTTAGTGCTTTTGTAGAAACAGGTTTACTTTTGTCTTTATGAAACAAAGTCTACCACACATAACTAAATTTGTGTGTGTGTGTGAATCAGGGGCTCATTCTGTTGCCCAGGCTGACAGCTCACCAAAGCCTTGTTCTAGTGGGCTCAGGTGATCCTTTCACCTCAGCCTCCCAAGTAGGTAGGACTATAGGCACGCACCACCACACCTGACTAATTATGTTTTTGACTTTTTGTAGAGGCGAGGTCTTGCTGTGTTGCCCAGGCTAGTCTCAAACTCTTGGGCTTAAGCAGCCCTCCCACCTAGCTTCCCAAAATGCTGGGATTACAAGCATGAGCCACTGTGCCAAGCCTGAATTTTTTGTTAAATTAGGTTTGAGGTAACAAGCACAGGCTATCGTTATTTTGCAATAGAACCCTTAACCTGAAAGGACTAAAAGTTTTCTTTTTTTTAATGAGCAAAAAAAAAATCTGAGACTGTAAGAGACAAATATGATGAAATAGTTAAGTTTTTTTATCCTCGTATCCTTCACAGGAAGCAGATAGAGAAAGCTTTCATTTGTAGAGAAGGTGCCAAGAAGAAAGCACCAGCATCACTGGCTGTCCTGTGAGCTTTACCTGACCAGTCTCATTCACCAAGCCATCCCCTTGCTTCCTCTTTGTTCAGCCCTCCTTTTGCCCTGTCTGACCTGTATGGGGATTTGGGTTGGGAACCCTGATACCAGTTGTAACTTCACGTATTGCTCTTCTGAGCTGTAGGTTTGTATTTCCAGTTGCTTTCTAAGGTATCTTAGCTTCATGTTCAGAGGCATCTCAGATTGAACTCAACTCTGCTTTAGATTACACTCATTATTCCTTTACTGAACTTTGAATCTATAAAGAGCAGTTCTTTTGACTCTTACGTCTTTAACTCTTCCATGCCTGACACTGTGTCTGGCTCACAATCAGTGTTTAAAATATATTGAAGAAGGAACAAGTGAATGAACACACAAACCAACCTCTTTCTGCAAGGCTCTCAAATATGGTACTAGACTGACCTACTTTTGAATAACTTCTAAAATATTATTCGACTTCAAGTACTATATAAAGAGGTTTTTTTGTTTTTGTTTTTTTGTGTTTTTTGAGTTGGAGTCTCACTCTGTCGCCCAGACTGGAGTGCAGTGGCCGCTCCCGGCCACCACAGCCTCTATCTGCTGGGCCTCCAGCGATCCTTCCGCCTCAGCCTTCCAAGTAGCCGGAACTACAGGCGTGGGCTACCACACCCGGCTGATTTTTTGATTTATCGTAGAGATGAGGTCTCGCTGCCCAGGCGGGTCTCAAACCTGTGGGCTCAGGCAATCCACTCACCTCAGCCTCCCAAAGGCGCGGGATTACAGGCTGAGCCACCGAGCCTGGTTTATAAAGAGTTTTTATTACTATATAACTATGTTATTGCTTTGTTCCTTCTAAGATGAAGTAGTTATCAGTAGTTTTTTACATTCTTTGTGATTTTTATTCTTTTTATTATTATTATTTTTTATTTTTTTTTTGAGCTGGAGTCTCACTCTGTTGCCCAGACTGGAGTGCAGTGGCCGCTCCCGGCCACCGCAGCCTCGACCTGCTGGGCTCTGGCAATCCTTCCGTCTCAGCCTTCCGAGTAGCCGGAATTGCAGGCATGCGCTACCACACCCAGCTGATTTTTTGATTTATTGTAGAGATGAGGTCTCGCTGCCCAGGCGGGTCTCGAACCCGCGGGCTCAGGCAGTCCACCCACCTCAGCCTCCCAAAGGCGCGGGATTACAGGCTGAGCCACCGAGCCTGGTTTATAAAGAGTTTTTATTACTATATAACTGTATTATTGCTTTGTTCCTTCTAATATGAAGTAGTTATCAGTAGTTTTTTACATTCTTTGTGATTTTTTATTCTTTTTATTTTTTTAAGAGACAGGTTTGCTCTGTCACCCAGCCTGGAGTGTGCAATCATAACTCACTGCAGCCTCAAACTCCTGGGCTCAAGCAGCCCTCCTACCTTAGCCTCCTGAGTAACTGGACTACAAGTGTGTGCCACCATACCTGACTCAATTTTTTTTTTTTTTTTTTTGAATTGGCATCTCACTCCATCGCCCAGGCTGGAGTGCAGTGGCACACTCATGGCCTCCCCAGCATCAACCTGCTGGGCTCCAGGGATCCTTCTGTCTCAGCCTTCCAAGTAGCCGGAACTACAGGCACATGCTACCACACTTGGCTAATTTTTTATTTATTGTAGACACGAGGTCTTGCCAAGTTGCCTGGGCTGGTCTCAAACTCATGGGCTCAGGCAATCCACTCAACTCAGCCTCCCAAAGTGCTGGGATTACAGGTTGAGCCACCGAGCCCAGCCTGGCTCATTTAAAAAAAAAATTTTTTGGCTGGACTCGG